GGCCGGATCTCAGCTCACTGCAAGCTCCGCCTCCCAGGTTCACGCCATTCTCCTGCCTCAGCCTCCCGAGTAGCTGGGATTACAGGCACCTGCCACCACGTCCGGCTAATTTTTGTATTTTTAGTAGAGATGGGGTTTCACCGTGTTGGCCAGGATGGTCTCGATCTCCGGACCTCGTGATCTGCCCGCCTTGGCCTCCCAAAGTGCTGGGATTACAGGCGTGAGCCACCGCACCCAGCCTAGATGTTCTTAATAAGATTATCAGCAGATTTCTCATCAGAAAGAATAAGATGATATATTTAAAGCGCTAAAAGAAAAAAAAAACTGTCAACCCAAGAATCGTATATCTGGCAAAACCGTCCTTAAAAAGTGATGAGAAATTGACATATTCCTAGATAAAAGCTGGGAAAGTTCATTACCACTAGACCTGCCCTACAAGAAATGGTCAAAGAAGTCCTAGTCCTGCAGGATGAAATGAAAGGAGACTAGACGGTAACTTGAAGCCACATGAAGAAATAAAGATCTCAATAAAGGGTAAATATATGGGCAATTATAAAAGCTAGTGTTATTGTAATATTAGTCTGTAACGATACTTTTGGTTTTCTACATGATTTGAGACAAATACGTTAAAAAAAACTAAATGCTAGCATGACTGTAATTTTGGTTTGTAACTCCAAATTTTGTATTCTATGTAATTTAAGAAACAAATGCATTTAAAAGAATTAGTTTATGTTTTGGAGCACACAATGTAAAAAGATGTAATTTTGTGACATCAACCAAAAGGGTGAGTGTTATTACTTTAGGATGTTAAATGTAATCCCAATGGTAACCACAAAGAAAATAGCTATACAATACACACAAAACAAAGGGAAATGAATTTAAATGTTTCACTACAGAACAACTAAACACAAAAGACAGTAATGCAGGAAATGAGGGACAAAAAAAGCAATAAGCCATATGGAGAACAAATAGCAACACAACAGAAGTTCTTATCAGTAATTACTTTAAATGTAAATAGATTACATTTCCTTTTTTTTTTTTTTTTTTTTGAGATGGAGTCTTGCTCTGTAGCCTAGGCTGGATTGTAGGGGCATGATCTCAGCTCGCTGCAACCTCCACCTCCTGGGTTCAAGCAATTCTCCCACCTCAGCCTCCTGAGTAGCTGGGATTATAGGCACATGCCACCACAACCGGCTAAGTTTTGTAGTTTTTGTAGAGATAGGGTCTCACCATGTTGGCTAGGCCAGTCTCGAAGTCCTGACCTCAAGTGATGCACTGGCCTCAGCCTCCCAAAGGGCGGGAATTACAGGTGTGAGCTACCATGCCCAGCTGGGATTAAACTTTCTAATCAAAAGACAAAGACTGGGCCGGGCTCGGTTGCTCACGTCTGTAAATCCCAGCACTTTGGGAGGCTGAGGTGGGCAGATCACGAGGTCAGATCGAGACCATCCTGGTTAACATGGTGAAACCCCGTCTCTACTAAAAATACAAAAAATTAGCC